CGTTATATTTTTATTATTACAATGGAATTATCAAAATACAAAGAACTAGAAGTAAGCGCAGAAATTCTCTTTCCCAAGATTCTTTTCCGATAATTGTACTCTCATAGAGGTACAACGCTTAAATTTGAACGGGATTATTTATGACCACTGTCCACGCTTCTTTCCTAGAAATATACAGATTATCTAGAATTATGAGCGACAGAGTCAAAGCAAGGCTTTTTAGTGAAACTATGAGTCAAAATATGATACATCAGGAGGAAACCACTTTTACTTACAACTTAGCCCTTAAAAATAGCAAATGGACAAGCCATTATCATAAAAAAACCATGTAGATATCTCGTGGAGGTAACAAACCTTTGTTTTACCACCTATTCATATATAAGGAAACTCACGGACTGCAGCGGCAGTACGTCTTTTAACAGTTTACTTATTTCATCTATGTACGTTAGATGTAAGTACTAATATTGTATTCAAATTGAAGAAATAAGTTCTTTGTTTGGACAATCACGAATCTTACATCAAGAATTGTACTCGCGAGGTACAACGCTTGAATTTGAACGAGACTGTTGTACCTCGCGAGTACAATTATTGGTGTAAGATTCGTGATTCTCCAAAAAGCAAGAATTTATTTCTTATAACGAGACTGTTAAATCGCGAGAGTAATCGAGTCGCGCCAATAATTTATTTCGATAAAACGTTATACCCACTAATTAATTTCGTAATTATCAGTTGCGATTTAAAGTCACTTTATGCGGGTTGGTAAATGCGGTAAAAGTCCGAATCTCGCACTTGACTCAAGACGTATCATCCTTCGCCAGATTTCCAACGCTGGTGATCAACAGACACCTGTCCCAGTACCGTCTGCAGACGCGTTTTACACACCTAACGTCTGTAGACAAGCTGGTGCGCGTTACGTTCCCTCGATCGCATTTCGCGACAGTCAAACGTTTGTTTCAATTTAAATCAGAGAGGAGAAAGGATTCTTTGTTTGAGCACAGGGAGAAGCTAAACGCTACGGATTGAGACTCGACTTAAGTACCGTGCTGGGTGTGTCACAATGCGTGCTATTCTAGCCTTGACATGGGTCTTGCTGCAAGCGAGTAAGAATATTTATCGAACGTAATACGAAAAATTTCGCACGCACATTACGCACGCGACCATCAATGTTTCGTTGATAGCGTCATATTTACACAAAATGGAAAAAATTTTTTCCCCGTTTGACATTGCTGTGCCGTGCGACTTGGCCCGTACGTGACAAGTCACAGATTTATACGCTGTTTCAGATACGTTTGTTTATGCTCATTCGTCAATACTTTACATGTCGAAGAGTGAAAAGTATATCGGCGAAACTGTAGAACTGCAATGCATCGTTCAGAGCCCGCGACATCGTCTTATCATGTGGACAAAAGATGATCTAAGGGCACTTACTACCAACACTGCCTTGACAATCAGTGACCCCAGATTCTCTCTTTTGTATGATACAGCGTCTGACACTTATACCTTGCAAGTAAGATTTCATTGGAATATTTCTATCGCTCCGAGCACATTCATTGTTTAAGCCGTTGATAATAACGTGGATTTAATACGTCTCACATTTTAGATTCGAGACTTACAAGAAGCGGATTCTGGACTATATCGCTGTAGAGAATACGTGGCTTCACATAGTCACGCAATCGTAGATGTGAGGTTGAAAGTCCGTAAGCAACCGATAATTAGCGACAACTCGACTCAACCTCAGGTAACGATACTACGAATACCGAGGGACAACCTGTCCTGTTGAAATGCTATGCCAGTGGCTTTCCGTCACGAATAATATGGCCTAGAGACAACAATACTATTTTATATAGAAGGGTAAAGCTCGTGTTCTATTTAAAATAACAATAATGTAAATAAGGAGGCCAAAATTAACGAGCTCTTTCAGTTGACAGAATTGATAAAGATGTTTTACTGATGAATATACATATAATTACATTTAACTCCTCTAGAATTGCGGACGCATTTCGGCACACGGTGTTTTCATCACCGCATATATGTAAATAAAAATACAATTAAATTAATAAATACTATTTTACCCACCTTGCTCGCTTCTGGCGTTCTCACGCGGCATAAAAACGAATTATCAAAAGAATTAATCGAGTTCCAGAAATTATAGAAGATTTTCTACGTGTCATCCTTCCATCGTTACACACGCTTCACAACTTCGTACCGTGGAATTGTAGCCTCCTTCAAAAATTTCCGGTTTAATTCCAACTATTTGACAGACTTTTTGTATTCTCTGATGCATTCATCAATGTCACTTATCGATGAAGAGCACACCGCCTTTTTATTAGTTATGGAAATAAGTTTTCAACCCGATTCTTAAGAGCTTTTCCTTCATTTCGTGACTACTATCGTCCCTCAAACCTGAACACTTTTTTTTAAACGATGAATATTTCTCTCGGTCCTATTTAGATATAAATCAAATTGAAATTTAAACGCCCATTGAATTTAGGACCTAGGCAAGGTGGTGGCCATTAAATAGCTTAGTGAATCCATATACCGTATTTTTTCGTACTCTGTACTGTGCGCCGTTACTATCGGACATATAATACAGATTTTCCCCTCGATAGGATCATTCTCGTCAGTGACTTTTTTTTAAACACCTTGTATATACCTTGTATGATTTGATATTTACAGAACTATCCACATGAAATATTGACTACCCCCCCGGCCTTCAATGAGCAGCTGCCAGTCAATGCGACTTCTGAAAATGGCTCTACGAAACCATCAGTTCAGAAACCATTGTTGCTATGATAACGTTGTAAGACCAAAAGACTTTAACCGTAACGGCCTCAATTACTGTTTCACTACTTTACTTTATCTATTTGTATCGTGTAATTCACAACCAGTTGTAAGTAATAAAATGCGATATCGTTTGTACTACGTATTATTTATTACTTACTCAAAACTGCATGCATTTACATATTCAGCCAAATTTATGTATGGTATAAGACGAGGGGGAAACCGCTGAAGGCATTGTGGTGTACAGATTTGCGGCATTACTGGGCATTACTAGGCATTACTAAGCATTTTTTGGGCATTAGTTTGGGCATTAGGCCTTGCTGAGGCATTATAAGAATAAAATAAGATGAAATAAGATAAAATAAGATAAATAAGATAAAATAAGATAATAAGATAAAGTAATGCCCTTAGTACATAGTATCTTACTATCTTATTTTATCTTATAATATTTAATAATCAATCAATTGTTTCGACATAACTGGCTATGTATTTAATTTGTCACAACACTCGATGAGTGTTAGCCAGTTATGTCGAAACAATTGATTTAATAATTGATTTAATTACTGGTGAACAAAAACATTACCAACAACTTATAATATTTACCTTGTTTTAACTTATTTTATCTTTTTAATACCCCAGCAAGTCTTAATGCCCAAACTAATGCCCAAAAAATGCCTAGTAATGCCCAGTAATGCCGCAAACTTGTATACCACAATGATCTCAGCGGTCTCCCCCTCGGTTTTTCTAGTAGCATGTATGATAAAATTTCAAAAAACTCTCATACGGTTCTTCAAAACGCCACATTGTCCCACGATTGCACGATTTTCAGGGTACATTTTAAGAGAGAATTCTCTCCGCGTACGAGCACAACTCGCGCGTATACGATAATAGTCTTGTCGGCATTTTTTTCGGGAAGATTCGCGAGTCCCGCGCCTACTACCGTAACATCGACACCGCCGCACGATAATCGTCCGAGTTGTAAATCTCCGCCGATGGAACGGCGGGCGTACGCGCGGGCGAGCGAGTAAAAACGGGTTAATGGACAGAGTTGACCCGTTTATCCGGCGCGCGGAAAAGAATCCCATCCCCCACCCCCATAAATTTCCGCTGTCAATGACTCGGCGACGTAATCAAAAGCTCGCGCGCACTACACGTTGCGCGCGTTATAGAACGTTTGCGTCTCTCATAAAACTGGCCGGCGGAATTAGATCTCGTTTTAATTAAGGGATATAAATGAAAAATGAGCTGCAGCTCGCGCCGTTCTCTCTGTCCAACGCGTACAGGGGTGGTTCTTATTCTTATTATTTTTAAATTAAAACGTGTCGCGCTTCCATTTCTCCTTAAACATTTATTGCACCCGCGCTCACAGGAGCGCGTGCACGAATGCGCACCGGCGTCCGCGGTGGGTCGAGTCTGGGTTCGTGGATCCGCCAAGTCCGTATGACTGCGCGGCGGATCAGTCGTCCCCGCGGAATTAGATCGCGTGCGGACTCACGCCGTATTGCTCTCCCGCTCTAAAACTTCCTCCGCCGGCTGACCCGCGATTTCTAATATTAGATTAAGCAAGCAAGCGCCCGGCAGCGCCGATTTTTCCGCGCGTCGCGCTAAAACCGAGACTGCGGCCGTAAATAAAGTGTCGCTTATCGCATCGATTCTCGGAGCGCCTCCTCGCGATCGAGAGACTCACGCTCGGGACCGGACGAATCGAAGCGAAACGCTTCGGCGAACTATGGAAATCCATTCGCGGAACGGATTAAGAGCACGCTTTCTATATTCCAGACGTCTCTCCAATTATCTCCGCTGTAATTTATATTTTCGAGCTAAAAAAGCGCAAATCTTATTAAATCGCGATGTTCCCGTGATTCAGCGCGGAAGTAAATCAACGTGCCGCGAGTTGGAGGAAACCGGTTACCGGGTACGACGGCGATATAATGAAGTGACCGGTCAGCGCTTTCCTTTCCGATGGAAGAGTCGCAACCCGGTAATATGACTACTGCTCATCTGGCGGTAAAACGCGATACGGAGGAGTCAAGTTAAAGGAAGCTTTGCCACGAGACGAGACGAAATAGCACGCGTTTTATCTTCCTCTCGACCCAAGGCGGGGGCTCGGGGACATTTAATCTACGCTCGAATAACAGAAAGAGCCGTTCTTAGTTAAAGCGAACACGTGCGCGCGTGATTTATCCGCCAATTTATCTCAGAGACAATCTGTTCGAGTGCCAAGTGATATGTAATACGGAAATCAGATTGCCAGATTGCGACGTAAACGCGATTTTATGCGAAGGGTGACAGAAAGCCGCCGCGTATGCACGGGCGTGACCGTGACAATCTGTTGCTCGCAGCTCGCGCCGCGTATAGTAGGAATGACATATCGCAAGCGCGACGGTCGATCAGGCTCTAATTAACCGCTAAGCCTCTTTGGGTTAAGCGTACGGCCCGTGCCGGCAATGGACAATTCCCTTGTACTGTTACATACGTGCCGCCCGCGGCATCTAATGCCCGGATTATCGCGTTAGTGCGTCGCTCCAAAATGGACAATGCGGCGATCGACGTGCCAGCGTAATTACTCCTCGATCGATAGATCGGCCGGTGGATCGACCGACTGACCGATTTGCAAATTCTGCCTACGCATATGCCTCCGGGACCCCCCCCCCCCCCCGCCACCGTCTGACAGAATATCTAAGCGACAAGGAGGCGGATCTAAGGCCGCGGTCCACTTGACGCTACGAATGCTTCGAAGCGTTCTTCTTCTTCTTTATCACTAAAAAAAATCGTACTATCGCAGGGAGATTTCTGAGTGTCGCGACAAAAATTTATCGCTATTTTTTGTAGCTGTTAGAAAATTGTAGCCCACAAAATTTATCGCAGCAACACTCCGCACAAAGAAAATTTTCTCTTAAAATTTACCCTGGAAATCATGTGATCGTGGGACAACGTGGCATTTTGAACAACTTTATGTGAGTTTCTTTAATTTTTCAAAATACCGTGTTGTCTCACAATTATGTAATTTTCGAGATAAATTTTAAAAGAAAATTCTTTCCGTGTAGTAGTACCTTCTGCAAAGTTTAGGTTTGACGACTAAATATTAATCATTCTTCTTCTCTCGCCTATAGACTTCTCGCTCCTGGACACAAGCCATTTTAGAAGGTTTTTGCCATTGAAACGCCGCGCTTGCCAGACAATTGGCGAGTACCTGTTCGTATTAATCACTCACATTGGATAAAACTGAATTTCGGGACCATAGCTAGAACAGTCTTTGGATTGAATACAAATTATATGGCTTTTGTGTGTACGAACCGACAGTGTTTCACTATTAGGACTAAATCAGAGAACAGCATGATATCATTGAAATTAAGTTTAGGAGCTTAACAAGAAGTCTATTCGCTCGAATAAGTTATAGGTTAGGTAACCTATAACTTATTCGAGTGAATAGATTTTTTGTTAGGCTTCTAAACTTAATTTCAATGATACCATGCTGTTCTTTCACTTAATCTTAATAGTGTGACACTGTCGATCTGTACAGAAAAGCCACATAATTTGTATATTACACAAATGTTTTCACGAATTGACAGTTCTAGGAGCAAAAGGTGCCAAAAGTGCAGAATTACTCCAGCATCCCCTTAAATGATCGCGCGGTTTTCTCGAACCACCGTGCCTCCCCGTGCTGTATGAACGATCATCCAATGGGGAAAAGATAGATCGTAATTTTTATTTAAAACGCGATTCGGCTTCGGAACTACGGCTGGCGCGCCACAAAGTAGCCGCCGCCGTGGTTTCGCTTCGCTCGGCGAGAGCTCGTCCGCCTGGGTGCTGTTAACACGCGAGGCGGAACGTAGGCAAATTTAATGTATGGCGGGAGTGTCACACGAGTTCGTAATGTACGTGAATAATTGCGATCGCCGTTGAGTTACATTAATGTACTACGACTGCAACCTTATGCCGTGGACACGCTGTAACATATTTAATCGCGTCGCACGACTTACGCTATGTTAATTATCAGTGGCTCTCTAATAGCGCTCAAATTTAATATATACACATGTAAAGCTTGTCAACTACCCCGTTCGCGATGTATTTTAAATGTTATGTTTCATCGTGATGACGATTGAGTTGTTGTTTTATTGATTACAGTGTTATTTAATTAATTTACAAATATTACTCCGCGGCTTTTAATTAAATTAGAAACACTTTAATCGCTAGGGCAGAAAACCCACGTTTTATCTTGTTCTCTTGGTGGCGCAGAATTCGAGGGAATCTAAATTTTTGCGTTCTTCCGACTGGCAAATGGTACGTCGGGAATAAATTGCAGTTTCCATCAGGATAAACGAAACATGCATGGCATGGCAAAGTGAAACATAGGAATCATCGCGACGCCGATGTCGGCCGGAAATCGATTGCCAGTATGGGGATTAAATCGCCCATTTTTATGAGGAATTATTGTCCTTTTTCGTGTGTCTCGCACGCCGTTAGTATCCAATTTCTCCGACGGGCCGTTTTTTCGCGACGCGGATATAATCTCGTCTCGAAAATCACGTTTATCTCGCAAGTCCTGCGCTCCTCGGATTTCCAATATCCTGCGTACAAAACAAACTGAATCACTCGGTCTTAGGTAAAGCGGCAGAATGTAGTCGTGTGATGATCT